TCAAATTTCTAGTGTGTAGAAAATTGACTTACTCAAACTCTCTTAGGTGAGAGTCCTACTCTTTCTCTCATTAATGAAGGTGACTAGAGCCGTGGCTCTATGTATCTAACCTATGATAGTACCATTGATATTTGCTGAGCTGCAATACCCTTGGGAATTCTCGCCGTGTTCCTCTTTAACTTGCTTATTGTTGTCTTCTACCTCAAGTACTGGGCCCATTGTAGGAACGGTATGCTTCCTTCACTTATCACAATGTTAGATTAATAACTGAGCAAATTTGAAGAGCCTTCGATCATTTCGCTTAAGAAAAGCAGAACTGTGCGACGCCGCAATTAAGATTTCTTATCATACAGTCAGCCTAAGTTAGAAGTCCTTTGAAATTTAACACATTCACTAGTACTTGGCTACTAACTGCTAGATGTCTCGATCCTCAACTAAACTTTAAATGTAATAAAGAAGGTTATTTGCAGCTCTCGTCATGTTTGTCGATGTCTTGCTTCTGGCAAAACTGATTCATATACTTATGTTGTGATGAGCCTATTGGGGAAGGAATTATCAGATATTAGAAGGCGGTTGCCAAATAGAAAGATTAGCGCACCGTCTACCTTAAGAATATCAATACAAGTCGTTCGAGTATGTGTAGGAAATATGAGCAGTAATTATTGTGTTGCCTTTATTTCTCGAACAGGGTCTGCAAGATCTACATGAAGCTGGATTTATACATCGTGATGTGAAGCCAAGCAACTTGGCAATGGGCCTCTACAATACGCAGGTGACTTTGGTGGATTCTTTAGATTTAGATTTTCATTACAGCAAAGCTCAGAATGAAAAGCTTTATTAATGTTCCATAGTGATTAATTCACCTAAGGCGAGGCGGAGTAGGAATGATATTGCTTTCAGGTCGTATACATATTCGACTTCGGCCTAGCTCGACAAATTCTGCTCCCAGATGCCGCAGGTCGGCTAAAGTTGCGTGAGCCCAGAGTAAAGGTAAAGAAATCAAGTTTTAGTAATCGGAACAAAATTTTGAATCCTTTTAGGTGATGTTTCGTGGGACTGTTCGCTATTGTTCATTGAATGTCCATCAGCACAAGGAACAAGGACGCCACGATGACTTGTAAGATGGCCTTAACAATAGGAAATTGAAATTGAAATCCGCTTTTTCCTAAGGTATGGCGGATTGTATGCAATGATAGAGTGCGTAACAGGTGCTTTGCCATGGAGAGGGATGGTAAGGAAAGAGGCAGCCAAAGTGAAGGAGAACACTACAGATGCGATGCTTTGCAAAGTGAATTGAATATTTAAATCTTGTCTATGAGTTAAATAGTAAGGGACTTAACGACAGAAAATTTGATTTACGCTTTTCTGGATCGAAGAAAAAAGTGAAAAACTCATCCACAATTCTTATCCATCTCTGAACTAATAGTTATTTTCTGAAATAAACAGTTTAGGCATGTCCACCTTCTTTTCTTGAATGGGCAAAGACTTTGCGAAAGTTGACCTATCGCGACATTCCTCCTTACAAACTTTTCATGGAGAAATTAAGGCAAGACTTACCACCAAAGATCAAAATGTGAATAGATATACATTTGAGCACTAGTCAATATAGATACTGAAAGAAACATCTTCTAGGACAGATCCTTATGAATGGAATAAACCGGGTGAGAAGATAATGGAGAAAGAGGGAGAGAATGTTAAGAGCGACCGAGCAGAAGCCGACAAGGTATATATAGAGCAGATTCTGTTACTTAATGAGTTGAGTAATTTTTGGTAATCAGGATAATGCTGCTGACAAGAATACGCTGAATGAAGTGGATGAAAGCGTTGTTACGGAGGAAAAAGGCTCCAGTTTGGCGAGCATGGACACTGATGATTTTGCCAAAGAAGACACACTAGAAGGAATTTGATATTAAAAGCTACTCGTTATGTAATAAATCCTACTTCTTTGCATTTGTGTTCACAGCAGCGCAAAGTTTATGATCCATGCTTGAGTCTTTAAACAGGGAATATCTTCAATGCTAATTAGAGCTGTTGTACAAGGTTCTCTGAAAGTAGCCTTGACATTTTAAATGTCTGCAAGCTGAGGTATGTAATTTTGAAAATTTAAGAGTTATGTTACCCATAAAATAGGTTGAGTTAAGTTGACAGCTATCCAGCCATTAGTACAAATGGCTGTTTTTTCTTCAAGTTTTATGTCACTTTCCAGACTCTGACGAAAGCAAGAGGCCTCAAATTGCTAGATACTGATTTTGGCAGTTGACCGTAGTCAAAGAAGTGCAAGCAAATAG